GTGAGAAGAATTAGCAAGATTGTATTGGTTGTGTGGAGTCAGATTATGCGGGGGATCTTTACAAGTGTCGGTCTACTTCAAGATATGTGTTTATATTAGCAGGAGCACCGGTATGTTGGAGATGTACACTTCAGTCTACAGTGACTCTCTCTACTACAGAAACAGAGTATATGACGGTGACTGGAGCTGTTTGTGATTACGTGGACTGTTGGAGGACTTGAGGATTGCACAGGAGACCCTTCGGGTATATTATGATAGCATGTTAGCTATCTATTTGACAAAGAATCAGGTTTATCATGCACGCATGAAGCACATTGATGTCGGATGTATTGGATGATGGAGACGTCATATTGGAAAATGTTCACACAAAGTACAACCCTGCAGATATGTTGACCAAAGTTGTTTCAGGTGTGAAATTTGGTCATTGTTTAAAGCTATTAAATATTCTTCCATGTTGAGAGTCTTTGGAGGCCATTTGGGTGAACTACGTTCGGGTTGATTCCTTGGGCAAGAAGATACGTAGGTAGTCTTGTTTGATGTAGCTGGTTGGATTTGTTGATTTTGATGGGGGGGAGATTGTTTGAGCTCTTGTTTGGGTTCCCGACTTGTTGTGGATTGAGTCCGTTGAAGTGGGTTGTTTTCCATTCGTCCTGGACGCAACAAGTGGGATATTTGGATGATTTGGTGTCGACTCAGTTTTGGAAGAAACTTCACCGAGGTGGGGATTTGAAGGATTGGCGAACATAACGAAGAACAGCTCAGGAAACAAATAGGAAAACTGCCAGGGAGTTGGTCGGTCGACCGGAAACGTGCACGAGGTTCAGGAGGATTTCTGGATGTGAGGCGGTCGACCGTCGCGATCGACCGCACGGATCCTGTAATGGATTTTGGTCTCGGGATGAGATTCGGTCGACCGCAGCAGGCGACCGTGAGGACCCTGTAGGTGTTTTTTTCTTTCTGTCGTGAGGGTGTGGTCGACCGCTTAGCGATTCTAAGTTGGGTTACAGGTTTTGACCCGTTTTGTTTCTGAGTTGATACATAAGTCTAATTCTAATTAATTAGGGTTAAACAATGACGTTTTGAGCAGTCTTTGAGAGGGGATTGTTGCATCCAATTGTGGGAGATTTGTGAGTGATCTAGAGGCTTTGTTTTAGGGTTTATTTGAGAGATTTGTTACCCTATTTGTATTCTCTTGATTTCTAATAGTAAGAACTTCCCCCTCCTTACCCCGTGGACGTAGGCAACTTGCCGAACCACGTAAAATTCATTTGTCTTGCTGTGATATTGTGTTTGGCTTATTATTTGTGATTTATCTCGTTCTTGTTCGTGTGGTTTTAAGCTCCCGCCGCAACATTGAGAGCTTCCAGGTAGCCTCCGTTACATGTTACATGTTACAATAGATATATGTTGCTCTTCCATAACCAGAAAGAATCTGTAGTGAAGAGTTTTCGTGTTCTTATTAAGAATGAAGCATTGGCATAGCTTGTGAGATTTAGGGTGTGAGAAAAGTCTAGCTTCTTATAAAGTAAAAAAAAGAAGTCATAGAACTCACATGGTGCGTTTCATCTGAACTAGGAGACACATAAGAAAATGGCCAACTGCTGTAAAGCTCTGTTACTAAACAATTATGCTGCCTGCCGTATCCAATGTTTTCTTTCTCTTTAGAGGTTGCGCATCTCATATCCATACTTTGGCTGATCAAATTGATCCTCGGTGATCCTGTTTGATTCATTGGTTATGCTTTGGCTGTTTGTTTAACCATTGATCCATAGCCTACCTTAATGGTCCTGAATAGGTGCTAATTATGGTACTAGATTGCTATTTTGTGCACTAATTACGCCCACGTAACAAAAGCGTAATATTCTTTTGATGCGTTAGGCTCTTAGTGGTATCCCTTTCCAGGTATCCTTGCATAGATGATGTTAGTTTTCCTTTTGCTTGTACTGCTGAGTATTTTTGTGCTGTGTATGAATGGTTTTTACCTATTGATGAAAATCATCATGCCGGTTCAAACACTGCACGTAAGAGTTGACCATATATTTTGAAAGTTATCAATTAAATATTTTCCAGTCGTTTCTATATTTAACTTATCAAGCTCCAATGAAACAGATTAGTCAGTAAGTAGCATGAGTGTAGCCATTAATTAGCAGGATGCTAGCTTTATGCAAATATATGTGAGCTTGAGCTTTTATCAAGCTATACAAGAATGTGTCAAGCTTGTTATGTCAACAGATCGATTTTGCAGCATAAGGACACGATCTAGCTTTTGTCATAGACTGCTTATCATCCTAAGCTTTAGGGCAGGTTGATTGATCGATTCAAAGACCTTGTATTCTTTCAGTTACCAACCAGCTTCTGCCAGTGTTATTGAGCTTCATATACATGTCTCAATCAATAGAAGCCTGCTGATTATATCTTGAAATTCGAGTATATTTAACTTATTCGGATCACCGACTATTTATAACAGCTTATGTATTATGCCCTATAGAATATTTATAAACAGTCAACTTCTCGAGTACTCCTAAACAGGATCAATAAAGAACCCCACATTATGTCATTGAGAAAGTATGTCGTGAACTTATATAATATATATATATATATATATATATACACACACACACACATATATTTCCTTTCTTCAATTTATCTTTAGTATTTGACTGAATAAACTGAAGCAATCAACCGGTAAACTAGCTATCGTTAAGACATGAGACGGGATGTGTTGTTAACCAGTCAACTTTTCGGGCAGGGGCCAATAAAAGTTGGCCCATTAATTTTGTGGTTGGTCAGTCTGAGGTAGGCATGGAATGCAGGTTTATATATGCTACACCAGATAATATGTTGTTGACAATTTGAAATAGACCCCTTAATTAATTAGAAGTTTGTTGTCATCGTCTCTACATACTCTACAGCTCTATGCTTTCTACAGTGGTTGGTAGTTTGGGGTCCCCTGAACTTGAAGGGTTCTCTCTTTGTAGAGTAGTGAAACCCGCCGCTTACCTGTACACCTCTTGTTTCCATGGGACTAGTAGCTGTATTTCTTTTTCCTCTTGGACCCCTTCAATTAATCATTTTCGGGTTATATCTCAAAATAATGAAAAAAAAAATACTATAGGTCCATTTGCAGATGCACCCTCTGTACCAAGGAGGTGAAGCCCCCCTCATCACCTATGTGTTATTTTACTAGCTACTTAAGTCTGGTAATCACTTGATTTCCCCGGGGAAATTTAAGCAAAACTAATGAGAAAACATGTCGTTTCAGAAGACAGAAGGTGTATGAGGGAGTAAAATAGGATAGACAAATAATAATAATAGTAATAATTATTATCTTCAAGTCCTCTTTGGAAAGGGGAGAACTTGAAAACCATGCTGTTTGATATATAGTTTTCTGGTTGTAACATGTTTAGGTCATCTTAGTAACTATGGTTCAGAGGTATTCCTCATGGTTCAGAGGTTATAGATTCAAGTGGTGGAAGCAAACCTCTATTATTTCCATTATAAAAGATGGAAAAACTTTGCATATGATGAAGTTGCTCCATCATGGTCCTGTGGCTATAAATTATGCTACTTTGCCTTTTGTTCCTTATCAATACAAAATTTAGAAATAATTACAACAAACGTCTAGTTTTTAGTAACATGCTAAACAGGGTAACAGAAAGCACTCAAATCTTCCTCCATTAGCATAAGAAAAAGAGAAACGAGGAAGCAAAACAATGGAACTTTAAAGTGAAGCAAAAGGGGGAAATTTTTGCTCAAGGAATGATGCACGTTGATATTCTTTTGCCTATTTAACCGAAACAGAAGCAACTCTTAGCTTAGCCTCATGATCACGTTTTCCACCAAAAACCCATGTCTCTGGCCCATTTTCCCGCATGAACAATTTGTATTACGCTCTCCCAAATAAAGCAAGATTTTGTGGAAGAGCTTTATATGAGATGCTAGCTTCCACTTACATCAACTAAAGTTACAATAAAAAAAGGAGAGAAAAAAGATTGAGAGTACTACTAATGGGACCTAACTCAGGTACTACTGTTCTTAATTATGTGACTAAAGTGAGAAGAGACCTCACCTCACTCATATGAGACCCAAGCTAGCTTAATTGGGAAGGCCAGCTTGCAGCATGAAACAAGAAAGTATCGATGAATTTAAAGCCAATGTGGTTAATGGCTTTATGGTCCAATTTGGGAAAAATCAAATCGCTCATGATAAACTTTGATCATGAAAGTTGACAGGGAATGGGATCCTTATCCAACATGAGTAGTTAGTATAGATATCGATTATTGAATCATAATCTGTGATCTAACATTAAATAATGCTTATGATTTGTCTCAGAAACAAGTAATTGCTAGATAATATTAGGCAGTTATAATTGAGAATGGCACTTCTAAAGTGGCAGTGAAGAGGATCCAAAGTTAAATTTGCTAAGTTGCATGATTTTACTATCTAGTTATATTATACCCTTTTAATTAAGGGGTCATATTTGTAAGAGCCTGCAGAGATTGCCCTGACGTCACAAAAGTGGAGTCTAGATACATTTCACCTAGTTTGAAAATCTACTATTACAACTGGCTACCAATATGGTGCTTTTATCAATTTGAAAGCCATCTCTTTGTAGCGCATATTGGCCGTTCGTGCTCAAATTTCTATTCTGGGACAAAGTTATGGTTGCTCTTTTGTGGAAAGATAAATGAAAATTTATGTAGCTTTAAAAGCTTTATCTTCTCAAATTGTATTGGCCTTCTCAAAATATATTTAAATTTGTGTTATATTTAAATTTATTGAAGTTATAGTTTCTATGACAAACTATACATGCTACCTCTCTCTCCTTTTGTTAGAAGTACCCCACACATGTTTCAGTAATTTGATTTGATGAACTACTACTTTTTTTTCCTCCTTTTGCATTTTATAATAGGGAAAGTTGAAGTACATAAGTTCTCTATTTGGCTCTTTGCAGGTTTTTCTCTACCGGTTTCTTTAAAGGGGAGATTCCACCTAAGTTCTAGTGGATATTGGTGGCAAGCTATTACATATGGACCCAAATGCAAAGCTAAGTGGATCTTTACTTAAAAATTGTAATCACATGTTTCCTGGAATTAGTCTCTCACGTAATCATTCTGCGCATTTGATATTTGGGGTTGGTTAATAAACTTAGCGACTAACTCATCTCTGTTTGAGCATCATCCCCTGATGTATTTTTCAAGTTGGATGGTTGGTTTTGGCCAGGGAAATATGAAGGGGAAGATCTTGAATGTTTTGTTTTAGTATCCTACCTTTTTACATTGCTAACCTAAACTTCAAAGCTAGGAAACTGGCATTCCTCCCTTCACACATTAAATTTGCTTCCAAATTCACAAACTTCCATTTTCGCTATCGATATTTGTGTTCAAGCTACTATAGGTTCGTTTCGAATAATAACGACTAATATGAAAAACAATAGTAGGTCGAATAATTTTAGAAAATAAAGGTGTTTCTCTTAGTATTTGCATAGACTAATGACAACTCTGTTTAAATTTTCTTCTCCTTAATATGAAAAACCTACTAACCATTTCTTAGCTGTTTTCATAATTCAAAATCCAAGTCCAAACTTAATATTTACGTAGACCATTGACAACCCTGTTTAGTCCAGATACCCAGGGAGAATGGCTGTTGCAATGTCCCTTTCACGCAAAGCTGTTGGTCCCATGGTCCCCTCAACCTTTCCCTTTTCTTTTCTCTTGTCCATGAAGCCTTTCTTTTTGAAGATCAAGTCTACATTTGCCCAACTCTCCCATGGATCTAAACCTTCTCTTTTATGGTCATACAGTGTATAGTACTTTTCTTTTTCTTTTTCTTTCTTTCTTTTTTTTCTTTTTTTTTTTTTTGAATCACAACGGTCAATTATTTTGGAGAGGGTTACGATTCGTCTTAAGTGAAAAGGGAGAATAGTTGTAATTTATAGAGAACACGATGAACGATAGATTTAAAATGAATCACAAGAACCTACATATTAATAAATTGTGAGTGCACAACATATACATTTTTATTAGCACTTAAACTTCCTAGTTTCCAAACAGAGTTGTATTTATGTTGTTCGTATTTGTACAATAGGAGTTGTATATTCCACACTTACATAAGAGTAGATGTGTCATTCTATACTGTACCGAAATACTTGCAATTAATGCTATGTAATGTGACATGCCCATGACAAATACTGCTAACTGAGAGATAACTCAATTTGACCATTAGAATGTCTATTTTCTAATAAAAGAGTTGAAGGATAACATTTGACTGACCCCCTTGTAGTAGAGAGGTTATATCTGCAATTAATGCTTAATATTATCTTTCCAATTGTCCTTAATTTTTTCTTTCTATAAATAACCTTTCCTCATCCCAACAGCTCATCACAGGGTTTTCTTCTCTCTTGGGAGGTTCCAACCTCTCGAGAGCTTAGAAACCCTTCTCCCTTTCTATACTCCAACAAGTTACCTTAAAAAACTATCAATCTATCCCATTTCAATTCCATCCCATGGAGCTCCACTCTCCTGCAGCAGCTAAAAGACTATGGAATTTCTTCCGAGTCGCCTACTTCATGATGAGGAAGGGCCTAATCTCCAAGCGAAAGCTTGTAATGGACATGAACCTCTTTATGAAGAGAGGCAAAATAATGAGCAAAAACCTTAGAAAAAACCTCATACATCATCATCATCATCATCGGCGATCAAGTGGCTATGGCTTCAGCCTGCAAGAGTATGAGTTCTCTTGCTCCGACAGCCCCAACCCTGTTTTTTTCCACTCAAAGCGCCGACATAATCACCACCATTATTTTCCTTGCCTCAATTCCAATGCTGTTGAGGATTCTGTTGAGACCCCAAGTCATGCACGTGCGGTGCCAAGGATTGAATACTCTCCATCGCCATCACCATCGCCATTGCCATTGCCATCGCCATCGCCATCGCCTTTTTCTGTAAGAATATCGAATTTCTCAGACGAGGAAGATGGAGATGAGAGCATGAGTCGCGAGGAGGTTGATGACGAGGCTGAGCAGTTTATCAAGAGATTTTATGAACAGCTGAGGGCTCAGAAAAGTATTGCGCTGATAGAGTATCAAGAGATGTTGGCGCGAGGATGCTAAGTTCGAATACATACATATGTACATTTGTTATGTATGTACAGCATATTCATGCATGCCCCTACCTATAAGGTGTTTTCGTATATGCAATTCAAAGGCTTCCAGCATTTTTAGTTTGGGAGACGGCTTTGATGCGCATATTCTTGTGTTGGATCAGTGTTTTATTGTTTGTTTGATTGTGTTGTAAGGTGAAGGGTATTGTGTCAGTGTGTTTGGATGGCATTTTCATTTGTAATTTGTAATGTTGATTGGGTGTTCTCTTATTTTCTGAGTGACCCATGAGGGATTGAGTTTGTAATAATATGGTAATATTTGCTTGATGTGAACCTCATTTTATTGTTGTAGGGTATATCTTGTTTTTACTCTTTTCACCCTTTCATGATATAATTAATCATCTTATTATTATGCTGTTGTTAGTCTCTTGTTTTCAAAGTGTGCTTGGAGAAGTGCAAACATATTTGCATAGCAAGAATATTCATATATGTTCATATGTGAAAAATTGCTTTTTTTTTAATCTTTTATTCATTTCTTAGTTCATGAATGCCTCTTTGTGTTTTTTTTCCATTAGCATTCCTTAATTTATGGAATGATGAGATGAATTTCCCTTATTGTTTATTTCTGAAATATTGGGATGCTTGTAGGTCCTTTTCTTGTGGCCCTTGTTTTGGTAGGAGCGTGAAACTTGGAGTGCTGGTGATGGTTTTGTTTTTAGAGGCTGGAATAGGTCCCAAGCTTAGCTAACTTATGCCTTTTGTCTTTATTTTACCTTTTTTTTTTCTGTGGTTCTTGTATATTTTAAAGACCCCACTATGTATCATCATTGTCTTTGGAGCGCATTGCGCATCTGATAAAGCTTGTAACCAGACTTTGGTATGATTTTCCTTCAAATTTGATTTTTGAAATACTAACTTAGCCATAGACTAAATTTGATGGATTAAGAGGAAGTGGGTTGAGCACATATTTTTTTTCCTTGACATCAGAATATTGATCTCTTCCTTTATTTAGGGCGCGTTTGGTTGTAAAAGCCCCTTGGTGAAAGCCTGACAAAAAGGTAAGTTTTTGTCAGCTTTCAGCCTAAAACGCCTCTCAAAAAGGCGTTTTTAGCTGAAAGCTGACAAAAAAGCTCTTTTTGTCAGTAAAACAGGTCCTTTTGTCAGGCTTTCACCAAGCCTATTATACAACCAAACGGACCCTTAGCTTCTGAACCAAGGTTTTCCTTGATTGTAGGAGACGCTCATGGACCTCTGATGAACTACATGTTGTTAGAGTATGAAGCATTTGTTGCTCATCACAAAACAGGCGTACTTCCTAAATGCACATATCCTAAGCTATAAGTAAGCTCAAAAATAAAACTTCCAAGATGAATAATAATAATTGCGTTATATTTTTCTACAACTCACACGTGTGGGCTCCTTCTTTGATGAGTTATCAATTTTGAAAAAAGTTAACTATGTTCGACATAATACTTATCTCTCTTGTAGTGTAAAAGTAACGTAATAAGTGGAATAGTGTAGTGGTCGCTACTCTTTTTAGATATGCAATATTAGTAATGAAATTTATTGGTTCTTAAATTCAGGCTCTAAAACACTTAACATGCATGTTGGTGATTCTAGTTTAGGATCAAAGCCCACATGAAAGTTTCTTTTTGGTTTTTCATTACTTATCGGATATTTATTAGATGTCGGTGATAAAATCATATTTGCACCAGATTACAAAGTTCTTCAAAAGAATGAGAAAAAATTAAATGATATTGTTGATGACTGTAATCAAACATCGGGTTTAGGTTAGGGTTATGAGAGTGTTTAGGGTCCTCAAACTTCTTCAGATGACTGGTTTCGGAGCCCACTGTTCTTTCCTGTGCATGAAAAACTCGTAAGAGGACAGAGTTGGGTTCTTCTCCTCCGACAATCAAGTCAGTATTTTGATCTTGATTGTGGAAATAAGATAAGTTGTATATTTAGTTAGTCTAAGTAGTCAAAAAACAGAAGAAGTTTGTCATGCTCCGGGCCCACGGGCCCGTTGGCGGATGCAAGCCGTGGGACCCACCGAAAGCAACTCGATGTTGGCTAAAGTCCACTGTCAAAATGCTAGCACTGGTTGTTCTTGGGCGCATTGAGCTTTTTCTCTATTTAAACCACTAACATTTCTTCATACTAGTCAATGTGAGATTAAAGTGGGGGTGTCACAATCACCTCACCATACAAAGACGACGTCCTCATTGTCACGACATAACAATTGGCACATCTCAGTGTCATTGTCAGGCGATGTGGACTCTAGAGGTGGCTCCTACAAGCTCTAGAGGTGGCTCCCACCGTATCCATGTTGTGTAGCACTTAGTCTCGTATAACACTTAGCTCCATACTTCCGGCTGGCAACGGCTCTGATACCATTTGTCACGCCCCAGGCACACGGGTCCGTTGATGTAAAGTACTATTTTTTTAAGTTAATGAAGAGTTTCATAACTGAAGGTAGTAAAGAGTTATAATTGGGTTATTATAATTACAATTAATATGGGAGTTTAGAAATCCAAAACTCATAGAAACTTTAAAAAAAACTCACACCTTTTTGGCCACCGAAGCCATCTCCGACAACATTGGACAATCTCCGACCATCCTTGAGCTAGGGTTTTACCAACAATGGCTAATCTGGTCGTCGAACCCAACCCAAATCAAATGGGTTCTGGGGCATCGAGAAAACAGAGGGATGAGCTAATGTTCTGGTGTTCTGGGGAAGAAATAGGATTTTTTAGCATAGATCCTTACAACTAGATTAGTTTCCTTTTAAGTCCAATCTCTTTTTAAATAAAGGGAAAAATGCTTCCAGCCCCCAAAAGCTAAGAAAACGTGCTTCCCACCCCCAAGACTTTGTCAACGGGTGTTTTTCCCCCAAAAATAAAGAGTTTGTTCTCTGAGCCCCCAAAACACAAAACCCAAGCGATTAAAATATGAGAAGACCATAATACCCTTCTCTCTCTCTCTCTCTATCATGATGTACTGATATGATAGTTGAAATGACTGACGGTGATTATTTTATTATTTTTGTTTTTTATTATTTTCGTTGTTGATGAGGGGGAACTAACTATTTGTATTGGGAGATTGTTAAAGTTAGGGGTTAATTGTTAAGATTACGATTTAATTGTTAATGTTACGGGTCAATTGTTAAGGTTATGGATCCCTTCTCTCTCTCTCTCTCTCTCTCTCTCTCTCTCTCTCTCTCTCTCTCTCTCTCTTTATCATGATGTTACTGTGATGATCTTGAAATGATTGAAGGGGATTCTTATTTTATTATTTTTGTTTTTTATTATTTTCTTTGTTGATGAGGAAATTAATTGTTTTTATTTGTATTGAGAGATTGTTAAGGTTACAGGTTTAATTGTTAAGGTTACGGGTTTAATTGTTAAGGTTACAGGTCAACTGTTAAGGTTACGGGTCAATTGTTAAGGTTACTGGTCAATTGTTAAGGTTACGGGTCAATTGTTAAGGTTATGAGTTTAATTGTTAAGGTTACGAGTTTAATTCTTAAGGTTACGAGTTTAATTGTTAAGGTTACGGGTCAATTGTTAAGGTTATGAGTTTAATTGTTAAGGTTACGGGTTTAATTGTTAAGGTTACGGGTTAATTATTAAGGTTACGGGTTTAATTGTTAAGGTTACAGGTTTAATTGTTAAGGTTACGGGTCAATTGTTAAGATTACAGGTTTAATTGTTAAGGTTGCGGGTCAATTGTTAAGGTTACGGGTTTAATTGTTAAGGTTACGGGTCAATTGTTAAGGTTACGAGTTTAATTGTTAAGGTTATGGGTTTAATTGTTAAGGTTACGGGTCAATTGTTAAGGTTACGGGTTTAATTGTTAAGGTTACGGGTCAATTGTTAAGGTTACGGGTTTAATTGTTAAGGTTACGGGTTTAATTGTTAAGGTTACGAGTCAATTATTAAGGTTATGGTTTAATTGTTAAGGTTATAAGTTTAATTGTTAAGATTACAGGTTAATTATTAAGGTTACGGGTTTAATTGTTAAGGTTACGGGTCAATTATTAAGGTTATGAATCCTCCTCTCTCTCTCTCTCTCTCTCGAACTCTCTCTCTCTCTAACCTTAACAATTAAACCCGTAATCTTAACAATTAAACCCGTAACATTAACAATTAACCCGTAACCTTAACAATTGACCCGTAACCTTAACAATTAAACCCGTAACCTTAACAATTAAACTCATAACCTTAACAATTGACCCATAACCTTAACAATTAAACCCGTAACCTTAACAATTAAACCCGTAACCTTAACAATTAACTCGTAACCTTAACAATTAAACCCGTAACCTTAACAATTGACCCGTAACCTTAACAATTATTAAACCCGTAACCTTAACATTTGACCCGTAACCTTAACAATTAAACCCGTAACCTTAACAATCTCCTAATACAAACAAAAACAATTAGTTTCCTCATCAACAATGAAAATAATAAAAAATAAAAATAATAAAATAACAATCTCCTTCAATCATTTCAAGATCATCACAGTAACATCATGATAAAGAGAGAGAGAGAGAGAGAGAGAGAGAGAGAGAGAGAGAGAGAGAGAAGGGATCCATAACCTTAACAATTGACCCGTAACCTTAATAATTAAATCGTAACATTAACAATTAACCCCTAACTTTAACAATCTCCCAATACAAACAGTTAGTTCCCCCTCATCAACAACGAAAATAATAAAAAATAAAAATAATAAAATAATCTCCGTCAGTTATTTTAACTATCATCTCAGTACATCATGACAAAGAGAGAGAGAGAAGGGTATTATGGTCTTCACATATTTTAATCTCTTGGGTTTTGTATTTGGGGGCTCAGAGAACAAACTCTTTATTTTTGGGGGCAAAACACCCATTGACAAAGTCTTGGGGGTGAGAAGCATGTTTTCTTGGCTTTTGGGGACTGGAAGCATTTTTCCCTTAAATAAAAGAACCAATATTGTAGGAAAAATTATATTAAGCCCGTAAGCTAGAAACGTTTGATTTAAGACCCTTATTTTTCTATAAAAGAAAAGATGATTTTTTTTAGCAAACCTCATGGCAACCAGGAATATTATTTTCATACCCATAATAATTTATGTTTAGATATCTTTAGTATTTATATGTATTGTACGTTTATAGGTTTAATCGAGGAGTAGAGTTCTTAAGTACAGTTCTCCAAAGTGTGATCAAATTCTTTAAGGTGAGTAGATTTCTTCTCATTAGTTGTTTTCTATTAATATATTATTTAAATGATAATTTATTTTTGTTGTGGATTAGATATGTTATTATGTTCATTATTAGTAATTGTTAACAAATTTAAATTGTGATAGTTATTTATCTTTTACATGGTAAATATTATTTTAGTATATGATATTATTTAAAATATATCATTTCAAATTTACTATTCAAATGCATTTATTAAAGAGTTCTATTTAACAAAAAATAAATTATCTATTCGTTTAGATTCATGAATATTCTACTTTCATGAAATTGGTATACGAAAACTTTGTAAAATTGTTTAAGCATTTATATTGCTTTTCATACTAGTGAAAATTATGAGTGATACTTTGAGCGAAAAGAAAAGTGTTTTAAATGTCAAAAAAATCCTCAGAAGTCCGCTATGGAGTGAAGTGATTTCTTTAAGCCCATCATATGATATTGAATGTAGTGATCAGTGTTAAAGTGGCTTTTTGGGAAAAGTAAAGTGGTATTCGGGCAATCTATGGTAGTGTTAGCTACATTTTGTCCCCGGGTTGACTTATAGTTATTTGATATGCATTCTCATGCTAATGGGCTATAATTTTTGTTGCCTTAGTGTGACAAATGAGAAAGTTTTGCATGTGTATATTTAGATGGATAATTACGATTTTAAAGTATATAGTGTCATTCTTATTATTTCATAATTTGTGAATATTCTTTTATGTAACATCACATCTATTCTCAAAAATTCCTCTTATTCGAAATATTATGTGTTTCTTAATCATCTTTTTTGACGATAGCTTATTTAAATTTTAGTATTGATAAATTCTTAAACTTATCTGATCCGCTAATAATAAATTTTCTGCTCACTGAGTGAAAACTCATCCCATTGTTTTTCAATCTTTGTCAGATGAAAATTAGATAGCTCTATCTGTATCTCAGAGCTTTAGAACATGAGAATGATCTTTTAGGGTGTTTGGTGTTGAAAGTTAAAGTTATACGAGTCTTGCTACTATGTATATGTAATAAGAGTCTTTTGACTCATTAGAGTGAACTTGTTATAATGTAGCTTTGCTCCGAGACTTCTCTATTTGTCAATAAAGTTTCTTTTATAATAAAGTTTATTGTAATATGGAAGTGCACCGCCAACTTAGCATGTGCTTTGTGCACGTGTTGCCATTGTCATGCATCTCAAAATAAGTTGTGCATTTTGGGGGCGTGACAAAGTTACCTCATGCAACGTAGTTCTCTTTTATAGCAGATCAAAGGGGGTATGAAGGTAACTTCGGTTGAGTCCAGTCAAGCTTTTGAGTCTGCAGATACCTTTCAGGTGTCGACCGTAGGGGAAGGTGAATCATTTGATCATTTAATGAGGGAATGACAAAAGGTGCTAGAAGCTGACTGGATCCGATGAGTCATAAAGACTATGGAAGCTAGAATAATGATGATTTTGCCAGAGCAGTTAATGCGAGGTTCGATGTAACTACCGCCTCTCTCTTTGTTTGACCAAGGGTCGAAAAGTGCCGTCTTTTGACTCAATTACGCAAGTTGTCGATTGTTTGGAAAGGAGCAGAGTAGAAGAGAGAATGATGGAGAGGGTAATATGGGGATATTGAGTTTTGAATATGTATATAATGTATACTTATATGTATTATGAAGACTTGAGTTTAAATATAAGTCATCTTTGTATTTTTGGGTTTAAGAGGCATTTTATAAGTCCATGGATTTAAAAATAAGTTGGAGTAAAACTTTGGCATAAGAGACAAAAACCCTTGTATAAATCGTAATCTTTCATTTATATTTATGATCACTATTCAATCCAAATAGAATTAGCACCAAATCTCTCAAGAGTCCATGACTTAAAAAAGTAAATGACCGCTGTTTGATGAAATGCCTAACAGAGAGAGACGCTTGGAACAGGAGCGAAACCGATGAGACCATCGAACCCCATCAGCTGGGCTCGTGTGCAAGAGGAGAGACTGATCGAGCTAATATCCCGAAGCGTGCGGGTCAGCCAGCTCAAACGTGCGCACGCACGTGCGATTTCAACTGGGTTAGCTCAGAATAACTTCGTCGCCGCCAAATTGATCAGGACTTTTGCTCAGTTTGGTAGCTTGGACCATGCTCGTGCTGTGTTTGATGAAATCTCTGAACCAAATGAGTTCGTTTGGACCGCGTTAATTCGAGGGTATAGCTCTTCTCATAGAGAGTCATTAGATTTATATGCACAGATGCTGAGGGATTCAAGAGTAAAGCCTTTGAGCTTCACTTTATGTTCAGTGCTAAAATCTTGCGGGAATTCTGCAGGCTTAGGTGACGGGGTTCAGGTCCACGCCCATGCGTTCAAGTTCGGGTTCGGGTTCGATTCGCGGGTCCAAACCGCACTAGTCGACTTGTACTGTAAGTGCGGCAAGCTAATCGAAGCTCGTCGACTGTTCGACAAAATGGGTGAGAATGGTGCTGGAGATGTGCAATTGTCAAACACGATGATCGCTGGGTACATTGCAGATTGCGATATAGACTCCGCTCGATCGATATTCGAGCGAATGCAGGACCGCAACACGTTCACTTGGGTCGAGATGATCACTGGTTATGTGAAGCACGGCCGAGTTGATGAGGCTCGCAAGTTGTTCCATGCGAACGCCGTGCTCACGGGCGATCCGGTTGTGTGCACCGCCATGATCACTGGTTACGCCAAGATCGGCGATTTGCTGGCCGCACGATCTGTTTTTGATGAGATGGGTCGTCGTGATGTTGCGGCATGGAACGCGATGATATCTGTGTATTCAAATGCTAATATGTACGACGAGGGCCTCGATCTGTTCAAATTGATGATAAGCTCTGATGTTGAGCCTAACAGGACTACCGTCGCGACTATTGTATCTGTCTGCACCCAAACCGGGTCGCCCAGTTTGGCAAACATGATTCAGGACTACGTGGATCACCACGGATCGAGGCTGCTGAACAACCACACGGTGGCTGCCCTCATCGACTTACATTCGAAATGCGGAGATCTACGTCGAGCAAAGGATATATTCGATAGCTGGAGGGACAAGGACTTGATTTGTTACAGTTCAATGATATCAGGATTAGGCATTCACGGGCGTGGCAGAGAAGCCACCAGACTATTCGACGAAATGATACAGTCCGGTCTGAAACCAGACAGTATCTGCTTCGTATCGGTTCTGACCGCCTGTAGCCACGCAGGCATGGTTCACGAAGGGAGGAGATACTTCGAGTCGATGGGGACTGAACACAGAATTCCTGCGACCGCTGAGCACTACATGTGCCTCGTGGATTTGATGGGTCGCGCGGGACGCATAGGCGAAGCTTACAGATTGATCGCGGAGGAAATGCCTTTTGAGCTGACGCGGCACGCTGGGATTTGGGGAGCGCTGCTGAGCGCGTGCCGAACGCATTCGAACGTGGAGGTGGGGGAGAAGGCAGCGGAGATGTTGCTGGAGTTGGAGTCGGAGAATGCGGGGAATTATGTGTTGATGTCGAACATATATGCGAAAGATCGGAGGTGGGAGGGGGTGGCGAGGATGAGGGCAGCGATGAGGCGGCAGGGGATGAGGAAGCCGCCAGGGTGGAGTTGGGTCGAGGCAGAAGGCGGGAGGGTGAGGAGATTCTTGACCGCCGAGGGCTGTGATGGACGGTTGGATGCGATGCTGGAAGTACTCGGTTGGGAGTTGAGGGATCAAGGGTACACTTCAAGCATTGAAGAAGTTGAGTGAGAGCTTCTCATTCTGGGATCTTTATTTTATTTTTTTCCTTTTTCCAGGGTAATTTATTCCTTATTTTTATTTCAGTAATCCTTGAGATTTTAGTCATGATTGCTCGTTTTAGTTATTGTATCGGTTAATTTTATTCATGGAAGCAAATTGCTGCACACGGACGGTGAAGGGAGAAAATGGTTTAGTGGCGCATTAATGTAGGTGACGAGTTTTGTAGTACCCATCCCTTTCTCTTCATGAAGAACAAAAACAGAGTGCTCGTGTACCTCCAGAATCTTCATTCAGTTCAAATACCAAACCTTTGTTGCAGGCTATGAAGCACAAACACAGCATAATATGAAGCCGTGTCGTATCGTGTCTGTGTCGGACACACGTGTCGAACACACGTAACCTATGTATTTTTTAGGATATGCCTCGTGTCGGCGTGTCGGATAGCCGTGTCGGATCCGTGTCCGTGCTACATAGGTTGCAGGTTTCTTTGTATTCGAAAATAGAAATGTTAGGGGCATACCCCCAACCACAATCTCAACCACACCTCCTCTCCCTCTATAGTGCGTTGGGCTCCACATCAATTTTTTTTTAAAAATTTGATGTGGGACCCAATGCACTATAGAGGGAGAGGAGGTGTGGTGGAGGGTGTGGTTGGGGGTGTGCCCCTAGCACCGCTCATTCGAAAATAAGATAAAAGAGATTTCTGTGTCATATGTGAGGGAGTCTGGAGACCATTGATCTCACGTGTGTTGTTTTTAAGCTCTTGTATCTGATTAGTCAGGATTCATCTGCCGCAGCACGTAGACACAACACTTGCGCTGGGCCACGTAAAATCCTTGTGTTTGTGTCTGTCGATTTCTTTCTTTTTTGTTATTGTTGGTGTTTATTATGCGGTCTTGATTTCAGACTGTGTTTTCCTAATATCCGAAACTGTTACCGTAGCTAGTTCTCGTTTTAATGGAGATCAAGATGACATCATGGGAGCGTTTGGCAACCATGGCGTTTTTGTTGTTTTTATTTTTTTTAAAAAACAATGAAACGTGTTTGGCAATCGGGGCGATTTTTTGACTTGACCCTTTACAAAATCCAAAAAATAAACGCTTTTCTTAAAACACCAAAAAGGTGTTTTAGATTCTGTTTTTTTCACCTAAGGCCCGCCCGCTCTCGCCCACCGCCACTGGCCTGTCGACGTCCGCCCCGCGCGCCACCACCGTTGCTGTCACCGGCCTAACCGCCGCCCTCCCCGCCATCTAGCCCCATTACCGGCCGTCGTCGTCCGCCGCTGTCCAGGCTCGGCCGGTCTGCCTGACCCGTCGCCGCCGCTGCTCGTTTTTATCATCTAAGCGTTATCCGTCCGCCGTCCGCCGTTCCCCCCGCACTGCGCTCCTCGGCGCCCGCACCCTGCCGTCGCCTGCACGCACCGCCCAGTCACCGGCTAGCTCGCCGCCGCGCGCTCCGCTGCCGGTCCGATCCATCGTCCGCCCAGTCACGCCGTCGCTGCCCATGCGCCGTCCGCCGCCCGTCGCCGCCGCCACGCTACCCCCGGCCGCCAGCCAAGCCGCTGCCGTCACCGTCCATTGCCCGCAAAACACCTGTTGCCCATCGGCACTTCGCGCGGCAACCCCCGCCGCCCGCAGTTGGGCCCAACCCCCCCTAGCCGCCGGACTGCCGCCGGACCGCCCACAACCCGCTCCGGTGGTGGTCCGTCCGCGCCAACGAAGTCCGTATACCGGCAGGCATCGTCGGACACGGCCGCTAGTCCATCCGCCGCCTGCGCGCTGCGCCCCCGCCTGCCGCTCACCACCGCGTCGCCAGTCATCGCCGCGCGACCGCCGCCTGTCGTACGCACCGCCCCTCGTCTGCCATGCTCGCCGCCGTTGTTGTCTGGTCGTCACCTTGCACGCCGGCGCCGTCGCTCGCTTCCCGCCGCCAGCCCGCCGCCGCTATATAAATAATAACTATAAATTGTGTTTTGAAAACACGTTTGAAAAATAAACGTCATGGTATGGTGTTTTTTAAAAAATCACTATAAAAAGAAACACTTTGGTTACCAAACAAGGTTGTTAAGTTCATTAGAAAGAACGGTTTCAACGTCTGGGGCATGGAGATGTGACCCTTGCTGAAGAAACGAGGAATTAGAATGGGACAAGCCAATTATAAGAGAGAAGATGCAAATTATACCTGGGACAAATAGTAAATGTTCTCAATATAAACGTTTGGTTTGATTTACAAAATGATGTAGATGTACAAAGAAGAGTCTGTGTCTTCAACATTCAACCTCGTCCATAACCCATTTATAAAGTTGTGGTTATTAAGAAGGGGAATTGATTGCGACGAACGAAGTTCAAAACTTTTTTTCTTTTTTAAACAAATTAACTTTTCTTAAAAGATTACTCGTGATTTCTGAAAATCTGGGGATGGAGTTGTATTTGGTTGAGGTATGACGTGAAAAAAGACTACTTTTTCCCTCTTACACCCAGGAATCACAAGTACAAATAAAATAGGGCTAAAATACTAGTTTGGCATTTTGAATGGACCCTAAATGATAATAGAGTACTTTAAATACCTCCGACTACAATAAAACCTTATAATTATTCAAAAGAAACGACGATGCTCATAACTTTTATAAAAGATTAATTTTCCGGTCAAGTTCCCTCATGTGCTTATATTGGATTTGTAAAATCATTTATTCTCTTGCTGATGTGGCAAGGACTTGCCCCTAGTTTGCAATATTCCACCAATCAACACTCAAATTAGGGTTTACCATTCAATTAATTAAGGATAAACAACATATTAATCATTCTTCTAAAAAAACCCACAAAGAAATCTCTTAAAAGTTTGAGGGGAGTCTCACCTTTGTTCCTAGTCGACACCATACTCAAGTCGTCGTCCTCACCAAAGATGCTCCCTCTCAAGTCACATTCAAGATCAGAGAGATTCTTGCAAAAGCTCTCATCCAACTGCTCCCTCTCTCGTTTAAGTTTTGGAAAAAATGGTGAATTTCACTAATTTGGGGTTGATGAGATTTTAGGCATAGTTATTTCTCCCTCTAACCCCTATGCCATGTCATTCCTTTTGTCTAACTCGGTCCACAATGATCACACAGCAAGCATGAATGATCACACAGCAAGCATGTGAGGTAACTTGGCCGGAAAACTAATTTCCGATGAAAATTACGGATGTTATTGTTTCTTTTATGGTCTTATTGTATCCGGAGCTATTTAAAATACTGTCATTTAAAGTCCATTTAAAATGCCAATATGATATTTTAGCCAATAAAATAGTATAGAAATTGCAAATGCTTCTAATTTTATCTTTAATCCTTCAAGTATAGCTGCTGCGTCTCAATATCATTGTTCAAAACTTTTCCTATTTGAAATACGTTCTCTTATAAAAGATTGCTAATCGTTTCTTTTAATCAGAAAAAAAAACAACAACAAAAACGTAATGAACTAGGGGGTGAGTGCTAATGGATGCAAATCAAAGGAGCCAACTGAATTTTAACAATCACTTTGTTTTTAGAAAAACTTCAGTTCAACTTGGGAATATTTGAAACCCAAATAACCGAAGTGACTGATCTTAACACAATTGTTTAAGAACTTTCATTTTTTCTAGGTGAAAGATAATTTATGCTAATAATTTTATTTATTTTAATTGATAAAGATTCAATATTAGTTTGTAAAGTAGCTGAGTTGATGAATTTGCACTTTAACTTGGGATATAAAGATGAGTGAGAGGTTTCTGAAGGAGTAAGAGCGCAATATTTTAGCTAAAATTTTATAACCAATCATATTTATGGCCAAAACTGAACAAATCGAATCAAACTGCACCGAACCGATTCAATCCGGTTTGGTTTGATTTTGAATCCAGTTTGGTTTTGTTAAAAAATAGTCAACAACCGAACGAACCGACCGTTTGCTCACCCTCTAATATGAAAGAAGTTGTTTCAGACTAGCCCAGTTTTGATCAAATATATTTAAAATTATTTAATTAATTTGGGTTACCAGTTTTGTCACTTTCTTGTAACTTCACCAGTTTTTTAGAGAAGTGAAAATTGCATTAAATCCTATGTGATAACTTTTTTATATTTCATTTTCATAACCATTTGCATGCAAATAAACATCTAAACTCTTAGAAGAAAGTCACTTTCGTATTTTTATTTTTCACTTGTACGCAAATCGAACACACACACCCTTAATTCGGCACCTAAAGCAGCATTCAAAACCTATGTTTCAACCGACACCTTGTACATTGGATTAGGAAAGTTTTTGAACTGAATGGGCCAAATAATTATAACTAAGGCCGTACTTAACACATATTAATTCAATGTACATATATATGTGTGTATTTATTTAAAATCTTCGATTCATTCAATTATCATTTTCTCAAAGTTTCAATATGGGATTTTTATACTTGGATTTGGAGAATTTTATTATACTATGATATCATTAAACTATATGGTTAGTGTCAATGAACATTATTACGTAATTTCCATATGGGGTTTAATCAAAATTTTTTTTTATATAAAGACGAAAAAAATAACAATGAGCTAATAATTTTTTACTATTAAGTTGCATACTTAAATATGCAAAATATATTTATTTACGTATTCAATATATAATTAACCATAGTATTTAATTAATTTAATATGACAGCAAACATTTCGTACCTTATCGGTTGCACATTGTCATTGTATAAGAATGAAATATAAAGCATGAAGTATATAAAAAATAATAATAACAAATTTTCTTTCCTCGTTAACATTAATTATAGCAATTTCTTTAAGATATTGAACCATTTTTTTCTCACCTGCAATGTGCTTCTAAATGGATTAGTCCCACATCCAACAAAATTAATAAAGATTAAAAAGTATTAATATTTGCAAAATCTAACTTAATAAATTGCTGAATTTGGTAGCTCAAGTTTGTAACCTGAGTAGGGGCGATAAAGATGGTTTGCAAATTGCAATAGCTTCATGAATGAACGAGTGATACACGTGACATACGTGTTGTTATAAGCGAAGATTTAACTTTTGGTTGAGTGAATGTATCACGCGAGTATAAAGAAGTATTTTTTTTTTTCTCCTAGACTTTTCATTTTTTTTAAACATATTATGTTAAAAAAGAATGTCTTTTAATAAATAAAAAAATTTATGACTTGATTGGATTTTGTAAAAGACTTATAGTTCCGTGATGGTTCTATGAAAAATAATTTTTTTATGGTGATCTTTCAAAAAATCAGTATATTTTGTAAGGGTTCTATGAAAACTAAAAAATATATGATGGTTCTCCGAAAAACCACTATATTTTGTGGGGGTTTCCTAGTAGAAAAAACCACCCTAAAAGCAATGTAGGAAGAGAGCATTTGCACAAAAGTCCTACAAGATAAAGCTACAAAGTTCAACATGAAATATTACTGAAGTAATATATTGTCCAACTTTAATGACCAGATAACTATTTTAATGACCAGATAACTATATCACCAGCACTAGTAATTTACTAATGGTAGCTAGAAAAATAAATTAAATAAGAAACTAAAGTAATAATTACAACTTATACGAAACTATTTACTACGTTTTTTAAACCAATCAAAAGAACATTGAAGCAAAAACAACAATGATTTATCTTAAATTGATTTACCGCATAGCCTACGGGTTACGAAATTCCATTTCAATATCCCTTTTTGCTATTTTAAATCGCCTACACCAACTATGATTTCAAAATAAATAACTCATTTATCAGTCTATTTTTATTGATTTATTTTTATTGATTTAGTTACTAAATAATAATTTAGAACTTGTTTTCTATCTCGATTTACAACTAGATTGCAAATATTTAATCCACGTAAATAAAACATTTTATTAACAACGACAACCTAGTATAAAGAATGAGTCACGTCATTCGTGTGCTTGTCCTCACATAACCATTCTTTTTTATTTTATACTAAACAAAAGAACCAAATGATTTTTTTCCCTCCTCATTCTAATAATTTTCTCTTCATCTAGTTCCTAATGATGTGTTTGGATGGAGGCTAGAAAATACTCAAACATCTTTATCCACTATTTTAAGCACCTATCTGTAATAGTATACTATGCATTTCAAGCTATAAATAAAGTTTAAAGCTTTTCAGCTTTTATTTTATTTTTATTTTTTTCAAAAATTTATTCATGACATTCTTTTTTTTAAAAGTTGCTTGTTTTTCCTTTCCTTTTCAAATATCAATCGTCAACAGATTAGGTTTACCATCTATCACATAGTTTTAATTGAGAAGTGATCTTATTCAGAAGGTATAGCTTTTTCACGGGAGGCGAAGTAATAATACAAATTTAAAAAAACAAAAAAAAAATCTCAACTAGCCCACAGAGGACAAATCTAATATTTTGTATTTCTAACCTAACTCTGTCGGCCTCGAGAATAATATCATGCAGAAGGTGAAAACCACAGCATTAAGCGGTCAATAACAATGGCAGGTGAACACAGCGGAATACTGTCTCTTTATAAATTTAACCATGAATAAAAACCCAAGGTCACAATTTCATGATCTAGGCTGATTATGCACACGTCTACTTATATATATATATATATCTCAAAAGAAAATGTCCGACTCCCATTTCCGACCTCCCTCCTACAGACTTCAGGTTCATGCACGTATGTACAAAGGACTCCCGAAGAGACTAGATTATGTACTCAAGGTGAATATTTACAGTGGCGGTGAATTTACAGTTGGTCGAATACTACTTACAGATCAGGCAAAAGTCGGAACAATCCAGTTGGATTCTGGACTCCCACAAGCAAAACCCTCGATCCTAACCTTTGGGCTTGCTCCTAAGGGTGAACCGTAAGAGGGAGATCCCTTATCGCGTCTCTGTGGTTTCATACCATGACAGCCTCCTCGAGGAGATGCTGATAAAAGAGTCAGCTTTGTGAATTCTGCATCGTGCACTACAGGGTTATTGGTTCGTACTGGTGGAGAGCCACATAAGAAGCCGACTTGCGCGCCTGCATCCGAATCATAGTCTAATTCATCCTAAAAAAAGAAAGCAAGATATAGTTTTAAGGTAAGATATAGTCGAAAGGATTATTTGCGCTTAATGCAGCCCAAAGATCGCCTCAAATTTAGCTTCTGATGCGACGGGAGGGAAGACTTTTTTTTTATTGGATTTTTTTTTTTTGGGGGGGGGGCGGGGGGGGTGGGGGAGGGGTGCAGACAAAAAAACCCTCCAAAGATTCAACACCATTTAAGCTTTGATACCCCAAAACTATATTTTTTTTTATATTTTTGTTAGGGTTTGGTATCAAAGTTAAATGTTGTTGAACTTTGAGGTATATTTTGGGGAAGAAAAGACTTCGGTGTACCTAAGTTAAAAATAAGTTAAACTTTGGGGTGTTTTCAGGCCAAAAAAAAACTTTTCAGTATTAAAAATGCACTAAACTTTGGGGTATTTAAGTGAAAATAAACCATAGACAAAATTGAAGAGAAATCGATCTTCAAGTACATTAAGAAGTACCTTTGTGAGGATGACATCCCATAATTTCAAGCCATGGTCTTCCTTACGCACAGACAAGGTGCTGAAACAAAATAGAGATTTGAGTGAGATATCAAGGTGATGTATCCTATAATTTGACATAGGATCTAGTGAAAAGTGAAATATCATAACTTAACTCTATCATGCATAAGGAGGTTGTTTGGTTGGGAAATGCAGGGGTTGCACTTACATTTGCATGCAACTGGACAATTTGAGTTAGTTGCAGCTATTTGTTTCATTGTAGTGTATAAATATTGTAATGGTAGTTGCAAAATGCTCTAGTTGCAGTGGTCAACTTAAATAGATTTCGAGCAAATTGCAATTGCAATCTCTTTGAGATGCAAATGGAGTTTAAAATGCAACTCAAATTGCAATCAACCCTGAACAGAAGTTAAAAGACACTGATACATCCAAAAACTAACAAACTAGAACTGAAGATACAAGTGAACCAAGCAACTGCAACTAAACCTACATCCAATAGCAGTTTGATGCCAACTGAGACTTAACATTGCAATCATACTCACACTGAATGAACAGTCCCTCAGTGTCTACATAGGTGTACAAATCAGGAAAATATTGACCTTCTGCAATGTTTTGCAGTATTATTCTTATCAATGTACTTGACTTTTAATAATGAAATTTGGTGCTGAAACTAGTTCAGGAACCAGTCTGACTACAAATAATAGTTGCAACGAACAAAATCTAACTCTCCGTTTAAAATTCTGCCTCTAGCCTTTGTTGCCTTCATATCCTTTATCTTTACATAATCTAACAATATGTGCTAATACTTTTCGACCAGTTAATCTTTATGCATTGTAAGATGAAATGTTCATTAGCAACATAAGCTCTTACCAGCAGAACTAGACAAAGCAGTCTGTCATTATAAGCAAACTTATGCTGATATTATATAAACTAGTATCATCAGTTTAGTAAATAAAAAAAATTTAAAGCGAAAATTTTCATGTAAAGAATTACTTCACCTCTTTGCCTTGGGAACAAATCTAGTGAGACTGTCCAACACAAACGGAACGTTAGTAGCACGCCGAGGTTGAGGGCATACAACTTCAGCCCTAGAAACTGTGCTGCCAACTTGCAGAAATCTTGGCTTTGTGTCGCTCATGTTTTCAGTATGTATTTGCCCAAGGGGGCAGAATCTAAGTGCGCAGTCATCCATCTTAGTTATCTCCTGAACCAGAAAAATTTACCAATCTGAATCATGCAGAGATAAATCACTTTGTTATGAGTGACATTGTGGCAGAGAAGTAACTGGTAACAAGGTTGAAGCCTCAAGCTTAATAAATGGAATAAGTTATAGCAGAACAAAGCAGAAGTAGTTTAACCGAAAGGTTCATCAAATTGACATTAATGTGACACACAGTGTAGAGGAGTAGCCATGTTGCACGGTCATCAAAAACCCTTCCCTCCAAACAATCAATAATTCTGCACTATTCAACGAGGGGAGGGAGGGGGAGGGGACAGCGGACGAGGGACGGGTGAGGGACGGGGGAGGGAAAGAGAATGATGTTATGACTTGAAAGGGGTATATGGAGTTAAATACAGCCTTTTTCCATTTTTTTAGGAGTACTGCTACTAACCCTGTAAGAATGGTAATCAAAATTATTAACCATCGAGATTTAGAGCAGGAGACAAGAGGATGGGATTAGTTTTTGCTCTTGATGAGATTACACATAACTTAGATAACTAGCTAAAATCCTACCACCAGTTCTGAGGCCTAAATTCTACAGCAGCAAACCACCCAAAACGAGCTAGCTACTAGCATATCAGCAATTATACAATCCCTATATAACTTCTGAATCAGTATGATCAGTAATGAGAAAGGTAACATAACAAACTACACACTGGACCTGGTTGTGTGCAGTCCATTGCAAACTACTGGAAGCTATGTTTTCCTATAGTGGGAGTGATTGTATTTAGTCCGTTGCAGACTTTCGGAGCTATGTTTTCCAACCTTAATTTCGAAAGAACTAGCAGATGGTTCACTTGAACTACAGGAAATATATGCATAAGCACAGAGGCAATTTCCACTTTTGAGCCTATAAACTTAAGTTAGGCATACAAATAAACTAGTGTAAACTAGTGTGAGTCTGTGACATAAGACATACTCCCTCTGCCATTTAGTTTTCAAATATCCTTTATTGCACTACTTTTAGATTCAAATTGGTATCAAATCAACAATGGTTCCTGCATAGAAACCCTCTTTCCCAAAGAAAGAAGTGCGCAAACAAGAAAAGAAAATTCTTTCTAGTTAAAGTGAATGTGTCCCTCTGCTATGTAGTGCAACTGTGCAACTGTTTTTATGTGATCTTGCTCCCTCTACCTGTACAATCAGATTGCTAATTTATCATTATGCCCTTGAGCATAGCTACACTCTCCCTCCCCCTTCATTCAGTCCATGAGTTGTCATTGTTCATCATGCATGCCTCACCCTCTATTTCTACCATCAATCATATGCATCATTGCTTGGTTTGAAGAACCCTAATACGGTATCACTATGATTAATAACGAGCAATAAAGAAAACACATTTTCATGTAGCAACATGAAGCTCGTCGATCAAAAAGGTCCAAGTATTCAAATTTCTCAATTCAGAGGTACAAATATAAGAGCAAGTGCAGCAAGCTCCCAGTTGGGAGTCCTAGTCAGCATGCTCTCAAGAGCTCTCAAGCTTTTTAAAATAAAAAACTAATAAATTATACCTTGAGAGTCACTCCTTCTTTTATGGAGCTCCAACAAGCTCCTAGTTAGGAGCTCCAACAATATAAAAAAAAACCCTCTTCTATTTTAATATTTCACCCATTACTTTTAATTATATTTAAACCTCTTGTATTTTATTTCTAACCGTTGCACACGGTCTTCGAGGTAACCCACGGTCTTCGAGGGAGCGCACACAGTCTTCGAGGTAACCCGCGGCTTTCGAGGTAACGCACACGGTCTTCGAGGTAACCCGCGGTCTTCGAGATTGGGCACGAAGTTCGAGGTATCGCAAACTTTGACCGTCAACCGACTGATTCCTATAAAATTCGACGGCTTCTCTCCTCAACCCATCATCTCCCAGAATAAAATGTCTAGCTCATCTAGCTCTAGCGATGATGAAATGATGAAGAAGTTCTTTCTTATGGGAGCTGTTGTCGTTGAGGAAGAAGAACAAGAGAAATGTTCAACTTCAGTTCAACACAAACGACGTATCGTGCTCCATCGAAACCGACTGGAAGGCCACAATCGGTTATTCCAAGATTATTTTGCTGACGCACCAACCTATCCTCTTTATTATTTTCGTCAAAGGTTCAGAATGAGGCGTTCGTTATTCCTTCGAATCCACGACGCAGCCGTCGAACATGACAAGTATTTCATCCAAAAGAGGAATGGTGCTGGACAATTAGGACTATCTAGTCTTCAAAAGATTACTGCAGCTATGCGGATGCTCGCATATGGAGCATCCGCTGACTCCGTTGACGACTACGTTCGGATCGGTAAAAGTACGTCGCTTGAGAGCGTGAAGAGGATTGTTCGATCGATTATCAACATCTTTGGAGAGGAATACCTTCGTGCACCGACTAATGAAGACGTTGCACGCCTGCTCGAGGAAGGCTCACAACGAGATTTTCCTGGTATGCTTGGGAGCATCGACTGCATGCACTGGACATGGAAGAACTGTCCAACTGTCTGGCAAGGTATGTATACTGGATATTTTCATGAACCCACAATTATTTTGGAGGCCGTAGCTAGCAAAGATCTTTGGATATGGCATGCCTTCTTTGGACTGCCGGGGTCTCACAATGACCTTAATGTTCTACATCGTTCACCGGTTTTCGCACAACTTGCGGAGGGAAGAGCTTCACCGTGCAACTATACTGTCAATGGTCACGAGTATAATATGGGATACTATCTCGCCGACGGGATTTACCCAGAGTGGTTCACATTAGTGAAGACTATTCCAGCACCTCGAGGAAACAAGCATAAGTACTTTGCTCAACAACAAGAAAGCGCAAGAAAAGATGTTGAGCGAGCTTTTGGCGTGTTGCAAGCTCGATTTGCGATTGTTCGTGGACCAGGACGTTTCTGGCAACCTTGTGTGTTGAAAGATATCATGACAGCTTGTATCATAATGCATAACATGATCGTTGAAGATGAACGTGATTTACCCAGAGTGGTCCACATTAGTGAAGACTATTCCAGCACCTCGAGGAAACAAGCATAAGAAATTTGCTCAACAACAAGAAAGCGCAAGAAAAGATGTTGAGCGAGCTTTTGGCGTGTTGCAAGCTCGATTTGCGATTGTTCGTGGACCAGGACGTTTCTGGCAACCTTGTGTGCTGAAAGATATCATGACAGCTTGTATCATAATGCATAACATGATTGTTGAAGATGAACGAGATTGTCAATTAGACAACAACTTTGACTTTACTGATTCAGTACCAGTCGTTGAACCTTCTCACGTGCAGACGGTGCCTCTAACTGAGTTCATCCAAAATCATCATCGGATCAGGAACACGCAAACACACAAATCACTAAAAAATGATTTGATCGAGCATCTGTGGCAGCTTAAGGGATCCATCGCCGAGGATTAAGTTTCTTTATGTCTAATGTAATTTCAGAAAAGGAGTTCAAGTTGTTGTACTACGCCAATTTCATTTTTAATAAAGTAGTTGTTTTCATTCAATGCCAAAATTTTCAACTTCAAGTACAATCATAAATCTAATATAAGATACTAATTGATAATTAGGAAGAACTAATGAGGATGCGATGCGAGTACAATATATGATAATTAGGAAGAACCCTTGGACATCCACCTCTCCAAAATCTCTGCCTGACGCATTTCAAAGTATTGACGTTGAACTGAATTGAGTGTTGAGAGATCGATCTTCATGATATCGTCATCTTGTTTCTTCTGTTTTAGCTCCATTTTTTCTTTGTTGGTTTGCTTCATCCACGCGAAAGCCTCTCCCATAATGGACTTAGCGGACTCAGATTTGTCCACATTTTGTTTCCTCTTGAGTTTTGCCGCTTTCCTCCCTTCAGGCCTTGCTATAACATCATCCGAGTCAATGTTCAACTCGATGGGGGTCGCTAGCATGGAATTGTTTGGTGAGGAATCAGAGTTCGTGGTTCTTCTCGGCTGTGATCGAATCTTATTGTAATTTTTCATTTGTTGGCTCCACTTTTGGTGATGACGCAACTCAACCCAATAATGGTCAAACACGAATGGCTTACTATAAAAGGATTGGTATAATTCTTTTACTTCTGCAGTCTACACAAGAGTTAAATTTAGAATAATCAAACATATAAGTTAAATATTTACATAAAAACATATAAGTTAAATATTTACCTGGTCAATAATTCCCGTACCAGATCTTTGTCTTCCTTCAATCTGAGCAACGCACCCGCAGAACTTGTTGACAGATAGTTAAATCGTTGATCAACGGTGCATCATTTGGTTTGGTGTGCGATTCGTTGGATCGGTGGAGTATTGGATAAAGTAGTCGTTAGCTCTGTGCTAAAACTTATCTTTGTGTTGCCCCGTACCTTGGATGGCGTCTTGGCTCGTGTTCAGCCAAGCAGACACAAGCAGCTTATCCTCGTGGACAGTCCAATTTTCGGACCGCGTGTAAGCCTTCTTCTTTTTTGTGGTCGGTGTTTCTTAGGATGACACTTGTTGTGTTGCGGATTGCGAGAACTCGATAGGATGACCTTCTTCTCCGACTTCTGTATAGAACGGCGAGTATAAGGTCGATCCTGCACCGGTAAGGAGATGCAAATAATAGTTTTGTGAGGGATCCATGAGATTTGTAATTTGATAGGGATATATTGAGTTTTTTTTATGAGAGAGTTGTGTGGAATGAGTTGTGTAGTGAACACAACGTCAATATTTCCAACGTTAATATTCCCAACGGTATGATTCCACAACGTCAATATTTCCAACAGCCTGATTTTCACAACGTTCGATTATCAACAAGAAAAAAATTCACAACTCAAATCTTTCTTCTCCTTCGACAAAAAATCACAGATCCTTCTTCTCCTTCGACAAAATCCTATTAAAAAAATCGCAATCCATTCTTCGACAGACCAAAAAAATCAAAGCCAACCCCAACCCCAATTCTTCGACAGACCAAAAAAATCGCAATCCTGTTAAAATCAAAGATCGCGATCCATTTAAAAAAAAATCACAAAATCCTTCTTCTCCTTCGACAAACCCAACCCCAATTCTTCGACAGACCAAAAACCCTCATCCCCAAATCTTCGACAGACCAAACCTTCTCCCTTCGCCACCATCGTCTCCGACCCAACCCCAGCTGGCCATCGCACAGTCTCCGAACGCCACCGCACAGTCACCCCAATCTTCGACAGACCCAATTCTTCGACCGCCACCGCAATCTTCGACATACCCAATTCTTCGAACGCCACCGCACAGTCTCCGATCCCACCCCGAACGCCATACCTCATCTCCGCGAAGGCCAGCGAACGCCCTCATCTCCGATTTCTGTCCGTTGAGGGGATTTTTTGTAAATCCTCCCCTAGTTGGGAGCTCCCAAGCGCTCCACAAATTTGTTGAGCGCGGGCTTTGATCTGGGAGCTTGGCCACGTCGGAGCTGGGAGCGGAGCTGGGAGCTTGCTGCCCATGCTCTAAGCCAGTAGGCAAACATTATCACAATTCACTATAACACACAGCAAATAAATTGCCTAAAAACACCAATGACCCGAACTAATAAATTCACTTTAAACTTGAACTAAATCATCCACAAGCAACAGTATCAACATCCGGAGTAGCGCAAATCTCAACACGCAACAAAAAAGAAGCTCCTTTTTCAACCTAAAAATCTTCAGCCAAAACATGCACACCGGAAGCAAACTCAACAAGCAACAAGATCATCGACCTCAACAAGTACTAAAACTCGCTAAAACTGGAATCGAATCGAGAGGGAATAAGAACGGATCTCACCTCGATCGCCGCGAAATCGTCAAGATCAAAGAAACCCTAGGTGCCAGGGACAGAAACAGCGAGAGACGACGAAACCTAGGGTTTTGAAAACCCTAGATCTCGCGGGAGAGAGAGGAAGAGAGAGGAAGCGTGATGAGAGAGAGATTTCTTCTCCTCTCTCTCTCCCCCCTTTTTCCTCTTTTAATCTCTCTCTCTCTCTCTCTCTCTCTCAGTCTCTCTTCTATCTCTCTCCTCGGTTTTTGTTATTAGCTTGAGACAGCTCGCGGTATTTTAACGCTGTCTTTTTCCCAGGGTACGGAGCACGATGGGAGGAAATTACGAAAACGACCCTCCGTCGTGCATCGTTTTTAAAGTCGGTAACCACACTGAGATTCGAAAATGAAACAGGCGTTTTGATAGTCAAAGGCGGTACGGTAAATTTCAGAAAGCCCCTCAACACTTTGACAATTTTATCCAAACCCTTATGAATTTCGTTCCCCACAAAAACATTCCGAAAAGCAGGAAGAATAGGCGGAAACAAGCTCCTGATAATATAAGGAAAGAACATTACGTAAGTAGGCAGATAAAAAAAAGTCCTCGAATTGCATAGTGAGAAATATAAAGGTCATAGGATTTTTATGGCAAATGCCCCCCAAGGTTTGAGAATTTTCTGAAATTTGCCTTTTCTAATAAATTTTTCTGACGGTAAAATAAAATTTCTCCGTTTTGACAAAGAACAGGGAGGAAAAAGATTGCTAAGAGTATAATTTGTAGCCACTTTATGAGACTTCGCCCAACTATGATATCATCTTAAATCTGAATATAAAAATTAAAATAAATAAGACTAAGCCAACCAAAAAAAAAAGAAAAAAAAGATAACATGTCATGGTACACTAGATGTACATGTCATTTTCAGATGACACATGCAACCGAACACATCAAAAAGCTACGTGGCGCTTATTTAGAAAGATAAATGCGATCTCATCCTCATAATATTGAATAATATTGTACCCTTGGTCTTTAATCAGGATTACAACAAGATTTTATATATTCAACAGTCACCGTCGATTGACACAGAGGCACGTGTGTTGTATACTTTCTTTCACGATTCTTTTCACATCTAATAGCATTAATGCACGTGCGTACCCGTATTAAAACTTAATTATTTTAAATTTTTTATATAAAAACGCCACTTTAATACCTTCCGGTATCATGCGTATTTCCAACATCTTTTTGTAAGATTTGTTCACTACATATGTGATATTTTATCTTATACTTTGTTTGAAATTTTGGCTATGACATGTATTTGGATGTGAGTAATGACGTAATTTCCCTAAATATATCACTAAGATGAGTTTTATTTTCATATTCCATCGGCAGATTATTTTTACTTCATTATTTGAAGCTGATTACTTAGATATATACTATTCATAATATTTATATTGGAATTTTGGAACTCTAATTGTTGTTTTCATTGTGTTTATTTATTTACATAAAAAAGAACTTTATAATATTTTCTTATGTATATATTTTTATAATATATAGTACAATAGATATTTAATTAGCAAGATCTATGATATGCTTTGGAAAGTTCTAGAAATAAATAGAGGGCGAAAAGAAAAATATTTGTGCGAAATGACTAAATTGTCCTCATATCTTTAATGAGATGAAGGACAGTTCTACAGTGTCCTTCAAACTTTTACTACCCTCACTATATATATTTTTGATATAGTAGTATATATATTATAGATTGATGCAATTATACTTTATTATTACTATATTTGTCATTTTCCTACTTACGTGTTCTTGTATAGTTCTATTTTTCATAAATCTACAATCAGTGGGATATAAAGGAGTGGAGAGGAGGGGAGCGATTGAGGTAAACCCAATGGAGAGGGTGGAAAAGTGAAGGGATGTGATACACTTAATTGTGCTTGGATAGACAATTAAGTATAGCATATGAGTGTCGCGTGAGGAAATTCTCATGATGACCACATAATCAAAGACTAAAGTTCAAATTTTAAAAATATTGAGGTATTTAAGTGCAGCCATTTATAGCCGTGGGTATTATATGCAACATTGGGTAAAAATAGGGTATTTAAGTGTAATCTACCCTAAAATTAAAGCATAACTATAAATGAAATAACTAAAAAAAGAGGAAGAATATGAGGTACGAATGGAACATCATTTACATTTAGGGGGTGAATTGATCAACTATTAAGTACAAAAATATCTTCTGTTTCAAGTGATTATTATTACTTTTTCTTTGTGGGTTTTTTTTTTTGGGGTGGGTGGGGGTTGTCTCTTTGTTTCATATTTTGTTCATAAAGCCAATCTAAACTGTTTCAAATAGCTAAGCCTAGCGAGAAGAGAATCGTAATCAAAGCTTCTTTACTAATATAAATTACATAGAAACTCTAGCCAAATGACCAATTCTCGGTCGATCGGTGAGCTAGTGCGAGGGGTATAAATGAGGATATATTCAAGGTGGAGGGTTTCACATGAAGATGGAATTCAAACTCAAGCATGTTCTATGTTAATAAAAGATGCTCAAGTTGCGGTGTTGGGTCCGATTCTGGGCTGGGTCATCTCAAAAAAAAAATTTAAAAAAAAAGCATAGGTTAGCAGTTAAAAATGCATAATCTGAAGAAACCATTTTTGACAATAGGTACTTTCGACTAAATTTTATGTTTAGTTTATTATCCAACAGGAGGGATGGCTATGGGCCTATGGCTCAAGTTTCCAAGTAGCCAGACGTAAAGTTTGATTAGGTCTCTGTAAAAGATGCTCTTTTGATCGGTCTACGGATTTGTACTTGGGGTGGCCCTAGGGGCACACCCACGATCACACTCCTTCTCTCATTTGCTACAGTAAACCGGGTCCCACATGAGATTTTAAAAATTTAAAATCTCATGTGAGACCCGGTGCACTATAGCAAATGAGAGAGGGGGTGTGGTTGGAGGTATGGTTGGGGGTGTGTCCCTATCATTTTTCTTGTACTTGGAATAATATTTTGAAGGAAAATGATAGAGACACACCCTTAGGCACATCATCAACCACACTCCCCCTCTTGCTATAGTGCAGCGGCCCCACATGTGTTTTTTTAAAAAAATCACATGTGGGGCCGCTGCACTGTAGCAAGAGGGAGGAGTGTGGTTGATGGTGTGCCTAAGAGTGTGCCTGTAGCGCCTCCCTATTTTGAATTATTTCAGGGACATCAGTTAAAGAGCCTCGTGTTGTACTTTAGAAGTAGTCTCTACATCCAATCCATAGAAAATAGTAAGCCCATAACTTGCAAATTTATATCCTCTGTTTGGTTCATTGGATTTAGCTTTTTGAATTTTGATGCATCTAGATACAAACCAGCACGAAGAAAGTGCATAAACTCGAATTGAACTGGAGCTAGGTGAGCAATCAACCTTTTATTTTCACTTCATTCTGGAAAAAAAGTTCATACTTGCACAACTATCATTGACCATCACTGTAGTGACTCCAGAGTGAATCTAATCGCAAACCAAGCTCGTCAACATATTTTGATGGTCCTAAATCAAATGTCCTTTTTATAAATACCACTAATGACGCCTGTAGAAACTTTAGCAATGTTGGCGAGAAGTTGACGAGATCGAAGAGATCGCTGGATCAAGAGCATGAGATCGGACTGAAGAGAGAAGCTGACGAGATCGCTAGATCAAGATCAAAAGATCGAAACCGAGATTTTTAGGGTTTCGGAGAGAGAGAATCGCAGAGAGAGGGGAGAGGAGATTTTTAGCTGGGTAAGTTTGGGTGGGTTATGGGTGGGTCAAGACCCGCGGCCCGCCCATCTAATACTCAGTTAATCTTTATAGAAATAGTTACCCACCCTATTACGCCCATTTAGCTAAATGGGTTGGTTTGGATGTGTCTCATATTCAGAGCCGGTTCTGGGTTTTCTAAGGCCCAGGGTAAATTTTCTCTGTGTGCCCCATTTATACAAACTAGTTTTTATGCGCGTGCAATGCACGTGGTCAAATATTATAATAGTTGATTTTTAGTTTATGTATTTACTATAACATAGTTGTAAAAAGTTTATTATTATCATAATATATTAAAAAGTTTCAGATATTTCAATATATAAAATCTTGTTGGTTTTAACATTTTACCTTCCACATAATTAGTGAGGTTTGAAGTCTTAAAATATGAATGATCTAAGAGCAATTTAATGATTTCGAATTTTAATTTTAAAATATTAATGATGTAAGCACCAATATCTAAAAAACTATAATTATTAAAAAATATATATATCTTGAATTCATCAACGTAAAATGATAGGTTTATCTGGTCATAGAGGATTTTGTTTAATTATAAAGAAATTACTTGCGTCTATTGTCAACTTCCACTTTCTATTATCTGGTGACCGAGTATTATAGATATTCAAAAACTTTTTTATAGAATTTTCAAAGTTAGAATGTGCAAATTCAATCAAGAAAGAAAATATAAATTATGTGATCAATTCCAAAATATGATATTATAACCTTCCTACATCTTCTCAACTAATTAATTAATTTGTCAAAAAGATTACTCTCTAATTTTAGAAAACTATAAAATATAATTTGAGAATGATTTAAACATATTTTGTACACATGGATTGTATTTTAACAAAATAATATAGATCTATCCAATATTAAATAATATTCAAAATTTTAAGCTAAAGAGTTAAAAGAATCTAATAACACTCATATCCAAACTGTATGCTTCATAAATATGAGACATATAAAATAAATAACTTAATTTATTTTGTTAAATAGTTTATTACAAATTATAAAAGATAAGGAGAACCATAAGGATGACATAGTCATCCCAAATAAAGATTAAATATCTCTCTGTGAATTTTGTAGAAAAAAAATTCAGATATACTGATAGACTTGCTATAAAATCCACTCTTATAAGATTGATGTCACATGTGTCTTAAATTATGCTTTGTTTAAGGGTTATTTTTAGAAAACTTCCCCTCAACTATGGGGAAATGTTAAATCCCCCCCCCCCCCCCCCTCAACTACTTGAAATGAGTAAATGTTTGTTTATCAAATTTGGGGTGTTATAGTTGATCTATCTCAACTTCAAAATTTTGATTTAACCTTATAAACTTTTCTCAATTAACCCCTCAAAACTAATAACATTGAGCGGAATTCATTATGTGATAAGTATTTGAGTTGAAAAGACCA